TTGGATGTTATTAAGCAAACAAACCAGTGTAGCACAAGTTTCTTTACTATTCCACTTCGTGATTATGATGAGGATAAAATTTCAACAAACAACCTTATCAGTACTGAAGTAGGGTGCAGTACAGAAGTATACATTGAACCTGAAATCACTTCCTCCACCATGCATCTGGTTAGGAGGACTTGGATGACTGTACATGCCTGCAAGTTTGTGGCGCTTCAGTTTTTTTTCTACCACGCCTCCCCCCCCCCCGATTGTTCTGAAAGAGGTTTTTAAAACATGATTGCCCTCCAAATTTCCAAACTGAACAGTGAAGCTGTTTTTTTGGATATTTTGCAGTGAAGTTCATAGTAAGTCCAGTCACAGGTAGAGTCACAAGTTCTTTTTGCCAAACCTGTCAACGGTGACAGGGTGAACATCAAGGGAATGTCTTTTGTCACACTTGATTTGAATGACTTGAGACTTTACTGACAGGATGGCTTGTGCTGGATCCAGGGATGCGTAGTGGGCCCAAGTACATAATGTAGCTGATGAACATGTGTTGGGAGGCAATCATCAGAAATGTGCCAGCTTCAATTGGAAGCTGCTAGACTACTGAACAATGACCCTGCCCCACCATCAACAGCAAATTTCAACACAGGATATTCAGGCTATTTCACAGTAACGCACACTGTGTGGATTATCTATTCCATGCTTCTCAGCCTTCTTGAGGCACAAGTGAAGCCAGCAGCATTGTACATCTACACCTACACACACCTACTCCCCGATGAGAGGATCCAGTGACTCATGGACAATACACTGTTGCCATGGTGCTGATGTGATGAATTCCCCGAGTATTTCCACCACCCAGTGCTCATTCTGGATACAAAAGCCCCAACTCAGACTAAGTGTCATTAAGCAGCCCACTACATTTATAGATTGGCTTTTATGTTGAATGATACATGTACCTACAACTGCCCAACAATATCAATTTCATAAATCTGTCCACATGATAACTTCGCACAGTTTTCCAAATAACATCCACATTGGAAAGACTAATACATGAAGAGACAGAAATAGTTTATTTGCAGCTTCAGTGATTGGGCAATATGGTTACCTGTTGCAGCTCTATGTGAGCGAAACCGAAAGATCTTGTACATGTATACAGTTGAAAGGAAATTAGCCATCCGTGTATTAACAAATAGGTGTGCACTTACACATGTATGAGGGAGTAATATTCACTCACGGAACAGCCTGCTTAGCTTATTACAGAAGCTCATTGTTAATGGTGTGTTTTTTGTTCTTTCTGTACGCACGCATGCCCAGCATGCAGCGCAGATGATGTCATTCAAAACTTAGAAATAGAGTCATTTGTCTGCTTACTATCACAAAAAAAAAAATCCCCAGAGGGATGGTGCAACTAGACTCAGTTGTCTCTGATGCGTATCCTCCAATTTCTTTTTTCCGCCCTCTCATGTATCCACTCTTTGGCAAAACAATGGCGGGGAGCTCAAATTAAAGCTTCCAATCTCCCTGCAAAAGGGGCTGATCCCAGAGAGGGGATGGGCTTGGGAAAAAGCCAAGCATGCGTCCTGATCACTTGTATGATCACAACCTAGTGCAGCTGACGCACACAGCTAATAAACATGAATCACAGATTACAAACAAAAGAATAATCACACATGTACACGCATCCTTTGTTTCCTGTTCCCAACAAGGAACACTACATAGCAAAGCATACAGATGGGAACTACATGTACATGTAAGCTTAGAAAAAAATTTCCTAAATCCATGAAGCTTTCGGGATGCTTCTGATATAAATACAGGTCATAAATGGTCGTGGAATTGTTTCAGGTAAATGCAAGGGCAGTGAGGCTCCCAATCAAGCGCCGCTAGACCACTGACTATGCATACGGTACTTTGGAGACTGCCAACATACACCTGCATACATGCAGCTCACTTGGAAGAGTGCCAGTTTCATTAGGACACAGACTGCAGGTTCAACTCTTGTTTTAGTCAACTTCATTTATCGACAGTGAACTTACATGTACATGTGGTTGAGTTTCCTGGTTGGGGTTTCACATTAACCTATTGGTACGGCAGACTCAATAGGAAGGCAGTAGTGGGTTAGCTTCAAATCACTGTGTTTACTCCAACTTTCCTCACTTCAAATAGTGTGTTACTATGTAAGCCATGCTTCAAAAAGACTAAACTGCAGGAATTTAGTGCAGTTGAAATACTGCCTGCATTGTGCACATGAACCGCTGCTGATCTGGCCAACAAAAATTGGGACTTGAGATAAATGGGGATCTTTTTCAAACTATATTTCTCTACCAAATTTCACAGTTCTGCATGTACACGTTTTAATTTGAAGACAATGACTGAGATAGTCCTGCATACACGTAGTCTTCATTAAAACCACCAGTCAATGTTTTCTGCTAAGTAGCATGGGAAAAAAGGCTTCAGTTTTCACTGCCAAAATCAAAATTAAGCCACCTAGACATTTAAAATTGCTGGTTAAAAAAATATACTGGTGCAGGTGTGTACATGATACAAGGTTTGCGTTTGATGATGGGAGACATCCTCTATTGTTTGACATTGACAATGTCTCTCCAGGGGGTTGTGATAAGAGATTCCAATTTCCAAAGTGTTGGGAGGCAAATAAATTACCCGGAGAGCAAGCCGTTCCTTCCCTAAAGAAATCAAAACAGCACGAGCTTTGAAGGTAAAAAGATTATTAGTCAGTTGTGTTTGAAAAAAAGAAATCTGGACGTGTTTTAAGGTTTTTGTAATGAACAAGTTCCCTGGGTTGTGCAACAAACTTCCAGTTTTTGTTTGCTTGGTGTTAGCATCCACCACAAAAGCGGAGTGTGAAATTACAGTCTCATGTCTGCCATTTCCGACCCAGTTTGGTATTTGTCCAAGCAGAAGTGGTTGGACAAATATCTGAAGGAAATGTAAAGACAGAAGGCCCACAGGCAAAATCTTCATGTTCTTGATCTAGTTATTAGCTTTTAAACTACAAGTATGAATGTGTCTTCTCATCTGACCTTGTCTTATCTAAAGCTGGAAATGGCAGAGTGACACTGATCCTGCTAGATCATTTTGTCCCATCACTTTTTGGCTTCAATTGTAGGCTCTGATAAGTGATGTGCACATGAATAGCCTACGTACATTGGTACTTTCACAAATCAGCTGGATTTAAGATTCCTGAGAATAATCATAAAATGGTGACAGCAGTATCATGAAAACACCAATACACCATAAAAAAAAACATAACCACGTGACACCCACATGAACTTGCACACAATCTGACACAAATCCCTACTCAATACACCTTTGTTGGATACGCTGGAAACCAGATTGAATGACTTTTCCTTTCAAATTAGATTTCTGGCCAGTCTTGTACCATGAAAATGAGAAACAAATCTACTCCATATGAAAAAAATGCACAATTCTTCACTATGCATATTCGATTTCAAGCTTCCAGTTTGGTGTTCATTTACATCGCACATTTGGCATTGATTCTAAACCCTGATTGAAACTACTCTTTAATTCTCTGTGCAATGCAAGTTGTGATTTATGCAGCTTGTCCACTAAAAGTGGTGGAGTTTGCAGAACTAATGACAAGCGCCCTCATGTGGTCACACTGGCACAATTAATGTAAATATTTAGGCCGTGTTTAAATATTACACTAAGCTACACCTGGAAAGAAACAAGGTAGGCATCACAGGTCTGGGCTTTTTAAATTTTCAACCATAACGTCGTACAATTCAATTACCAGTTCAGACACATCTTTGTCCTACGGGCTGATGTTGTGGGTTAAAAAGCTAACCCACAAAAATATTTACTTCCAACACTGTGGTGGCAGAAATTTCTAGAGCTTCAAATTTGAATTTGTAAGGAAATGCTGGTCGACGAAAAAAACAAAAACAAACAACCCCCTCCCCAACAACACGAATGTAGTCGCAGACAACAGGGGCATGTTCAGTCGTGTAACTAGCATATAACTTGTATGCCTTTATGATGTCAGCGTACATGTATTGTGCTACCAATATTGAATGCTGCCTAGAATCATACAGCAGTCCAAATAAATGTACATGCATGGTAGACAGGCATTGGCTACTGTTACAACTTGAACCACAAACTGTACTTTCAAAACTACCATTGTCATAAATTTCATGCATGTAGCCTCGGCAAGCATTTACCAGGATGGCAACGTACCTGTACAGAAACGTACATGTACCTAAAGGTACGACATCTTGATGTTCCCACTGGGCAAAATTTGTTTCAAACTTTGCCTGATCCATTTGCTACAGAGCACCAAAGTGAATCATGACATCAGAGAATAAGGCGTTAGCACAAGATCCAACATATGAACCAACACATCGCACACCTGTACTCCATTTGTTTGCACTACACTTTGTGATTCAAATGGCGTCACGCCTCGGTACGCTATAACATAATTTTTTATTAATGCAAAATGAACACACTGTACCAAAAATTTTTTTCCAACCAGACCACCTGAAAAGCCAAAGAGCAAAGTCAAAGAGACCATTGTTATTCTCTCTCTTTCCAAGATTTGGGTTGAATGGAAAATTTCGATTCCAAACATCCAAACACACAAGCAGTTCAAAGAACGGACCATGAGCCCAAAATCTACAAAATGATGTGATCTTCTTCTTATGGCATTGATTTCTCTTGGGTAAAAGCAGATCAATATTTCTGTTCACAGGAAGTATTAACACAAGCAATCCTATCAAATGATGTTATAATGTTTGAGTGGTGTATGATGGTTACATTAGGATACAGGTAGATGAAGAGACCATAATATCAGGCCCGCTGTTCTGGCAGGGCAGTATGTGTGTACAAACCATCAGGCAAAAGGTTACCAGTCGCATGGTCTATGTACCCGATGCGAATATATAAGGTGACCAAACTTCTATTACATGTATTTCATCAGCTGCTCAGCCTGCCAGTACATACATGCACATGTATTACAATTATGAGGTCCATACATGTACCTTGAGTGTTGTCAGGGCCACAGACAAAGGTTTGGCTGCCTGTATCTTAGCATCAGTCTGGCACTGAGCAATCTCCTATAATGATAAAAAAACCCACAGTAATTACGGCACACTACTGGTACATGTACAAAGGCCATTGTCAATACTCAGACAGGTCGGTCTTCCTTTTTTTTGCCGTTTGAAAAATGTGGTCCAATTTGATACTGGGTAGGCGTGGACGGTACTGCATTATTTATACCACGATGTCTTTGACAAGATTACCGTGATAATCACTAATACTGTGTTATTCTTCAAAAAGCAGCCGACACTGACTAGGAATGCCAACAAAGGTTTGAAGGTTTGTTTGTAAACACGGAGAAATCCCCTAAAATTAAGAAGTACGTGTATCATACATGTATATTATCACAAAAATATTATTTATGAGATAATAATACAATGAAAAGAGTAAATTTGCTAATTTTTGTCCCAAGGACGATGCACTAATCCAACACAGGAAGCTATAAAATGGAAATGACAGAACAAGTTATTGAGTTATGACTACGACAATACACATCCCTATAATAAATGGAAATGACAGAACAAGTTATTGAGTTATGACTACGACAATACACATCCCTATAATAAATGGAAATGACAGAACAAGTTATTGAGTTATGACTACGACAATACACATCCCTATAAAACACTGCTTGGGACTTCCAGTCAGACTCTAAAATCTACACCAAGCCCACTGCACAAATACAATGCTCGTAAAACTTGAACGGCTTTTGGCAGGTGGACTGGCAGCTGCTTAAGTTTCATGTTAAAAAGTCGAGCTGGACAATTATGTCTTATTTCTCCACTGACAGTGGCAATGCAGACATGGCACTGGATGACTCATACCACAAAGAATGGAATGAAATATGGGGTTTTCCTTGTTTTAAAGGGCTTCTACAAACACATTAGCATGAATACTGTACATGTAAGTGCAGTCTTGAAATTTCATGCGGAGTTTGCCAATATTGACAAATCCGACGACCAAAATTAGAAGCCATTACTACGGGGCCATCCTGTTCGCATGCAGGCGGCGGGCACGTGTGAAACTCCTCCTTGACCAATAGGCAGTAGTCAATTGCCAACGTGCATGCACGCTCTCAGGTTGAGACAGCTGCGTGAGTGTAAATGGCCCTTTGAATGGTATCTTGTCAGCTTTGTCTATCAGTCAGTATTATTCAGTATGGAAAAAAAGCCACTATTTTGTAATATTGCAAAAATACCATCCAAGCCTAATAACGGGTGAATAGATGGCAAGACTGTGTCACTGTACCAATTTTCAACAAATTTTGGACCAACACTAAAAGTAGTTTAAAATATTTCACATTAAATGAATTTGGGGGGGGGCAGGGGGCGGGGGGAGGGAGGAGCTACAAGTTCAGCCTTCTTACGTACTTCTAACAATTCCTGGTTCCTTTGTTTAGCCTGGCCCCAGTGATGTGCAACTGATGCACTTAGATCTTGGCTGTCACCCAGACGAATCTCGGCCTGTCTCAAAAGCGCCTCACGTCTTGCTAATCTACCAAGAAATTGATAGGAAATTTAAACAACTTCACTTCTTTCTAGCACTAATGGAATGAAGTTTTTTTAAGGACATACATGAGAGTGGCATGATAATGAAGTCTTTTTCTGTTTTCATGGCACTCTGCTAAAACTGAATGTTTTCATGGGGGTGCCAATCTGACCCTTGAGCTACGCTGGGTCAATTTCCACCAAAAACAGATGCAATTTTGTCCTTTCGTGTTTTGAATCAAATCTGAAGTTAAATTGCAGGGTAAAGGGAAAAAAGTCCAAAAATAGCACTACATGTACATGTGGGTCCAATGTCCACCTTCTAAATACAACCTCACGAAGACAATTTAGACAATGTACATCGTAAGCATAGTATCAGATGAAGATTGTTGGAATGAAATATTGAAGTCCCTTAAAACACTCACTGCATATGTTCAGTTGCCGTGTTGGCAAAAAAGCACAAGCATATTGGCACCATTTCAGGGTCCAACATCTACATCCAATTAATGATTTACATGAATTATTAACCTGCTACAGTTGGGGATACTGTTGGGCACGGTGGTCAATTAAGCACAACAGTGCAATTGACTCTGCAATTATCCTGTATGAAATCTTTACTTCCTTTGCTGAACATGATTTTCCATAACCATGAATCCAAAGAAAAATCTGCTAGGTGAAATTAAATTGCCTGATTATGAGACTATCCTGTGCAGCAGTATCTTTGGGAAAAAAATGGTGTCTGCATGCTGTGCTGTGAAGCTGTGAAGGGAAGGGATATTCCTGCAAGTTCATCCACACACTTGGAAATGTTCCAATTATACATTTTTTTTAAGTAAACGCAGACTCAGAATCAGAGACTGTTTGGTGTTACACGGGGTTGCACAATAAAAACAAGATTCCATCTCTGTCCCCCGGCTTCCCCCATCTTAGAAGATGGTGGAGCCGACATACGGAGGTTAACAATCGACCCAGAAACTGGCATGCGCTGCGTGGTGTATGTACGAGGTTCACAGTGTGATTAAATCTGTAGAAAATGACTTTTATTTAAAAAAAAAAATCACACAGTCACACAATTTCTGAAGAGATAGGAATCAGTTTGGACAAACATTTACAGGGAAAATTTGATTGTGAAAGTGGACTTTTTGAGTGCACTAAATGTACTGGTACCCTGATCACCACTGATCAGACTAAGATGCGTTCAAAAACCTGTAGCTTTACGTACTGCTATAAAGTTGTTGCTGTAAGTGTAAAGTAGACTTGTCTGAGTAACGACGACTCTACAAACAGCCTCTTTTAACATTTGGTTGGGCATGTATGCTACAATCAACCATGTCCAAACGTTAAAATACATGTAGGCGATTCGTAGGGCATGGTGTACATGTATGTCTGGTCTAGTCCGAGTAACTTGGACTCGACAAATTGCTTTTTTAGCGTTTGAACATGGTTGGATGATACATGTAGTAGAGTCCAAGTATCCTTCACCAAAGCCTGTCCTTGCGACTTCACTAAAAATAGCGCATACAATGTCGTACCCCAAATCAAAATCCTCAGAATTCATTTTCAAATGGTCTTTAAACTGTCTAATGAGCCCACCTTAGGATGATAGCAAGGTTACTCATATGGGAAAAAAGAGAAATTTCCTGTTTAAATGGGAAACACTCATGTCGGCCAAGCTCAAAGACGTCCCCTTCTTCATGTGGCAATTCAAACTGTATGCTGATATTTGGAAATCAACATCCACGCAAGTGAGCAGTGCACTGAACAATGCATCAGCTGAGCTAGTGGACTATTCACAATAAGCATGCTGTGTCTCAATCCACATGCTGTCTGTTTGCTGAGCAG